GTGAAAAAGAGCGTCTGACCCCTTTTAGCGTCTGGGACCTTATTCGCGAACGGCTGCCGCGTTATCTAAAACGCGAAAGTTACCACTGCCGCGGGTGATAACTCGAACTACGAGCAATCGTCCTTGTACCTATAGCCGTTTCCATTAAAGAGAAATTGCTTTACAAACAGTTGGTTACATGGCCGATGGAATGTCGCCGACACGGTGATGCTTTTTCGCACCTGACAACGGGTCTTTCTTTACCATCCTCGCAGAAGAACATCGATTAGTCGAATTTTTTGCTCCAGGCGAACTGGATTCGCTTTCCTTTATATCTGCATTACTAAACGAATTTCACAGTCTTGCGATTATACGCGCAATTTCTACCGATCTTTGTCGATTTCGACCAAGAATTTCTGCGAATAGCTAGTGTTATGGAACAACCAGGACGATTCTCTCGTCGAATGTGAAACTTGCCGCGAAATATAGTGCAAATAATTACAGACTGAATTACCGCAATGGTGATTAAATTCCACGTAGCAGTTGCCTTTGCATGTATAGACGGGCGCAACACTGGTAACGCGTCGCTGACGCGTGCCAACGAACTAATGTTTTATTAACACGAAGACCGGCTTTCCTCCGACGATGTAGCCTTAGTGTACACTCGGTGGCAAAGTCAATGTCTCGTACGCACTTGGTTTAACGCATTACCAATCGAATTGAAAAAGCGTAGACAAATGGGCACGAAATCTTCAGGATCCGACCCACTTCTTCTGCAATTGTCACTATTTCGTTGTCCATCTCGAGAACCACAAAATCGTTTCACCAAATCGTTTCACCAAATCGTTTCACGAGTTGCACCACCTCACGCCGGGGAAAACAAACCTTATTAATCGCGCGATCGTATCTGCTAACAGCTTCATTTCACAAGTAGCCGACGCATATGGTCGAGAGTGATTTAGTTACCGTGTAACTCCGCTGAATAGCTAGTGTGCAATTACCACGCGGTAACTAGGGAATTTCATCGTTGCCTGTTTCACTGAGCAATTCTCGATCGTCACTTACTCGAAAGCCGTCGATTTCGAGACTATCGGAGTTCCTGCTCTTCGTTTTGAGCGTCCTATGCGAAATCGAATAGATGCCCCATTCGTTCTCTATTTGCCAATTGCTATAGTTATTCCAGATGAGCCAACGACACGGTCAGTTGAGATATAGGAACAGAATCCTACGCTTGGTAGCGGTCTTTGGAGAATTTTTACAAGGAACTGTCGGAAACCGAGCGAAAAATTGTCTCTTCTCGGTTTGCATGGTCAATTACCTGACTTCGTGTAACCCTCGGGAGAATGTGAGCACGTGAAACGAGTTATGCAACAGACTGGACGAAACGCGGCGTAAATATTTGGCACAAGGTCGCTGGACCATTTTCAGACCAGCCTCGCATGTAAAATTTCGGTGGAGAACGCGACGAGTTTCTGCGAGACGATTAAAACAATTAAACATTGGTCTTCCTTCGCTCTTCGGATGTTAACTTCGTTATCAAACTAGGCCAATTATTATTTTCGATGAAAGTTCACAGAACTAGCTCATAGGGAAATTATTTTCGCAGGCTAATTATCAACTGTTGGTAAAGCGATTGAAAATTTGTTTCACGAGGAAATTATTTTTGCAAAATCAACGTGTACCTTCGATAAAATGATAGTTCGTTTGAGAATTAGAGAGGTAGAAATTAATTTCGCCAGATATACCTGGGAAAAGTTAAGAAGATTAATTTTTGCCACTTTCGTAATTAACACTTTCATAAGCTTATTAGAAATTGCTAGTGAAGAATTGGAAACTTCTGTAGGAATTATTTTTCTAAACCGACTGCGAATTTTTGCAGTAAAGACGTCACTTTTTCGCGGTCCTAAGGATGAATACAGGCAACTGTCGTGTCACTAAGAGATACGTGAAAGTCTAGAGATCTCGCGATGATATTTCGTTCGGTGATAAATAACCTCGCCTAATCTCGCCTGTCTGGCGTAACTGCAAAAACTGCAATGATCCTATAAACTTCGGAAGGCAATTTCTTGACGGCGTCTGACGCGTTGCTACGCGGTCGCACCGCAGAAGGTCCACGAGACAAGGAAACCAGATAATCCGACGTCCTTAACCAAGAAACGGGCTTTCACATGGCGTAAAAACCGAACAGGATGAAGTTCCAGCGAAATCGGGCGATCGAGTCCTGAATATTCACGATCAACGTACAGGTACGAGGACAGCGAGCTGGAAATTTCCCGTGACGTGCAATTAAGCGGCCTCGCAAGAAGGCGAAACTGCGAACGCGTTTGGTCCTTGGAAAACATTTTTACGATGTTGCAGACAATCGTGCATTGCACCGAGCACGCTCGGATGCAGGGAAAAAAGGACAAAATATCCGAGACAACGAACTCGCGGAGAAAATGCAGGCAAAAAGGGAGATTTTTCACTTGGCCGCTTTCTTCTCTATTAGGCCCTGTTCCCGTTTAAACGTCGCCGTGTAGGAAGTTGTAAAAGGTAAAAAGAAGATGCCGATAGATCGGAATCGACGATGTCTACAGGTACAAGCGATTACACAATCGGTCGTGCGAAGTGATACCAAGGTTAAGGAGATATAGGCCTATATCTGTCGCCTGGATAGCTATCTCGGGCTATTTGTTTAGGTTGAGCGATACAGAAATGAAAGTAACGAATGCGTGTAACAAGGTATCGGTGACTTGCAAGATTGGACCGTAGAAAACTCGGCGAAAAGCCGATAGAAAAAGAAACTTATTTGAATAGTTATCTCGATCACCTAATCGCTACTCCTTTCGCTCACTGATGACGGTAATATTTAATATACAGCCGCATTAACATTCCAGTCTTCTATCTTTTCTTCGCGTTTCTTCCTGGTTAGTGTGCACCCAAGGCGAACACCTCTGTCTCACGTACACCTCGACAATTCGCAGCCTTGCCTAATTGAAGAGCTCTCTCGGCTACCGTGAAGATCTTGACAAATGAGGTCTGTAGACAGAGAAGAGATTACTCGTACGCAGCTCGAGGAACGGTCCGAAAAATTCCGAACCGGTATTACCGATCAACTGAGAGTACAGCTAACGAACAAACCGAGATTAATAACTTTCGTCGACATAATACCATCTCTTAATCGTTGCTCCTGGAAAAGTACGCGCGGCACGAGTGCTAGAAAACGCGTAGACACTCGGTCGGAGCTACCACGATGATCGAGGCCATCGTAAAGCCAATACCGTTCCGTCCAAACGGGGATCGCGAGATGAAAGTGAGAAGAGAAGAATCGGTGTCATCTATCAGAACGCGGAACGCACAAGAGCCATTCAGGATAAGCGAATTCATAAGCTGCACGATGTACCGTTAAATTTCTCTCTTTTCACTCCTTCTTCGCCGCGTGTACCTAAAGTTAGCTATTTCGTTGCTTTGGAAAACCTGTGCCCTTGGAAGTGACCTTGAAAGGCACTTTGAAACCTGCAAGTACAGTGAGCAGTTCCTAAGACGAATTGGCTCCTTAAGGACCGCAACCCGGTTGACACACTTTCGATTGCTAAATCTCGATCTTATATTCAAATTTTCTACAATATCAGTTTCTTCTTTATGGCGATATATTACTAGATATCGCAATTGCTAAAAACATCTCGTAATTTTTAATCGAAGTTTATAAAATAATTCGATCCTCAGAATACAAAAATGAAAAAGAATCGCGAAAAGTACACATCGTAAGCAAATTTCTGCGTATAATGCGGAAAGTCTTTCATCGATATCTTAGAAATTATTAAATACCCTTGGTATCTATTTACCTTTTGACCTAACCTAAACTTAATCTCCTGTCTCGAAATTTGGTGCCTCCTTCTTGTTCTAAAAACCATGCCTTCCGATGACCATATTTTTCAGCAATGATGCACACGATTATCCAAAATGATCCTGAAACATACGACACATGTAGAAGCACACTTCCTCGCGCAGAACCAATGGTGCAACCTTGACTAAGATACAAAAGCACCTATTGAGAATAGGCTTCCTTCTAGAATTTCTATAAAAGCAGAGTAAATGATCGTTACATTTCTCGCTGTCGAGACAAAAAGGCAAACCACGTCCAAGATGCTAAATTATAAAGATCGAGAAAAGAAAGATAAGATGGCGGTAGCGTCGGGGTAGAAGAACGGAGAAGATGGCGTTTCGTCGAGTGCTCGGCACTAATAACTTCCCGAGAACGTTGCACGGCTATAAATTCCACGAAAAACCGGCTGCTCGGTTAATAAATTTGTGGCGGCTGAATTTCTCGAGCTGCGCCAAGAACACGAGGGTTAAGGTTGTCGAAAAAACGAAAGAGAAATTAAAGGAAGGCGGAACGTACACGCCTCGAAACTCGTTGCTGCATCTCGTAAGAAACGGTCTAATACAAACGCCCATAATTATTCACGACCATCCATCCGGTATCTGTGCGTAGAAAGCAACAGAAATCCGCGTCCATTTTCCCGCCGATCGCGGTTCGAATTATAATGAATTACATCCGAGCCAGTTTCGCTGGGAATGAAAGAGGAAACGAATCGCTGTGCGCATCCGAGGATCGACCAAGAGGATGACAAATCGCGAGTAGAAATGCTACTCAGGTTGATAAGAATAACGGAGAAGAAAGAGACGATGCTAACGATGAGGAAGAAAATGGAGAGAAGTTCGAGGACATGACCACATCGTTATCGAGGATAAGAACCGCAGGTGAAATTAAAATGCGAGCGAAAGATCCGCGGATAATGTTCGATTTGTCAACGAGGTCGCCATGCATTCGTCTTTTAAACACTAAGACGACCTAGAAAGGGAAAACAGAACTCGGAGAAGTGTCTACCCAATCGTCCTCTTCGTTTTCTACACTCGCTATCTTCGACTCTGCATCGGTCGATCAATATCGCCAAGATAGGATCAGAGAAACGTGACTGCTTCCGGTCGATCGCGGAAGAAACCACGATGCAAGTTGACGGAAAGAGGGCTGGAAGGAAAAGGAGCAAATGTATAAGAGAAAGAGAAGACGTTTGATAGATGGGGTAAATATAGACCGCGGAAGAAAACGTGCGAGTTACAGCTGAACGGCAACAGTCAGCAAGATCGTGACAAGCGGTGAGGACGAGTTAAAGGCTGATCGGCATTTAACCGGACTGTTGACCCACTTACCTACTAAACTCCAAGCAAGCGAGTTTTAGCCGGTGCCGTTCCTACAACCATCGTCCTCGTCATCGGCGTCATCGTTGCCGGTATCGTTATTGCTGTACGTGTTCCAAGTCTCTCCTTCCATTCACACCGGCAACCTTTCTCTCTTCCCTCTGTTCCTTCTTTTTCTCACTGACCATCGAGTATCCATCCTTTTGTGTTTTACAGCCTCTCGCGGTCCCGGGACTTTCTCTGTAGCAAGTACCGTTCCTCCGTCGTCGCCGTGAAACGAGACAAATCTATCGCTCCACACACACGCGTCCCATCGTATCCTAAAAAAGACGGTACGTTCCTTGGAATGTATGGTCAGATTTTCGTTGGCTGTTTCACGATTCAGGAATCTCGGCATGAACAAGGTGATTAAAAGTTTCTCTGAGTTTTTGACGCCCGAGAATCTAGAAACGGAACCCAACTTGCGATAAGAGAATTATCCTCTCGAATTAACTCCGATTTTTGCTTCCCAAACTTCGCACCAGCAATGTAGGACACGTCTCGACTTAAAAATCTCGGAATAATCGAAAGTCTTCAGCCGAATAATGGAATAATGGTACCCAAAAATGGCACTTAAGCAGTTAGAAGATTTCTAAGTTGATACTCGATCTAAACGCGTTTTCTACTCCGTTGTTTTATTGTTACTTCCTCGAAAATTTCTACAATTCCTAAAGTTCCTACGCTGTGCACATTTTTCTTTCTAATCGAACGTTTTTCTCTCGGGCCAACGAGCAGGAACATATTTCTGCAAGCTCACGTTCGAAGCGGGTGAGAGGAAAACGGATTTATAGGCGAGCAGAGATAGAGGGAATGCACGATGCAACGGCATTGAGCAACCTTCCTGGGGCAGCTACGTATGACCATTACTCCAGTTTTCGTGGCTCGAAATTGCGGTTTCGTTACACCGAATCCCATCGACCAGCGTTGGCCTTAGAACGTTCGACGTACTCAATTGTAGCGCGACTGGTGCTTTCTGGTCTAGTTATGCGACCGGCTCGGCGTGTCTAACGAGATTCAAGATTGCGCATTCATGCACCGTGCATTATTTCACAGTGATTCGCGCGATAAACTTGGCCAGCTGATTCGCCCGGGAAACGCGAAATAATTCAGCAAGATGCGACATGCGTTTCTATTTCGATAGAAAAACAAGAGAGAAAGATATCTCATCGCGCATTAGAGGAACAAAGATGCCTCGATGTCCAGACTGCGATCGAGATATCTTTCATGCACGAAGAACGCTGGAGAACCGAAATCTGATTATCACCCGAGAATTTTAAAGTATCCACAAGCTTTCATATTTGGAAAGTGGAACTCGAATTAGCCGCGTCCCATATAGCGAACGATTTCTATTTTTAAAACAACGAGAATATCGACTAGGAATCTGATGCGTCCAATGCGTTAAATCTCTGAGAAAAATTCCGATCTTCGTTTCATATCCTTGTTTCAGAAAATATTTCAATATATAAAAATATCGTTCTTCGATCATCGGGAAAATATAATTATTCGAACGATTGTGTGTCAACATTGGTTCGGATAATCGAGGTTCTACTGTATCTAAATTAGTAAACAGGTGGCAAGAACAATACCAATGCTTGCTTTGCTTCGAACAACTCGTGATCAGGGGAACCTCGGACAGCGAAAGCTGAACAATATCGTGCGATCTCGGGTGTGCAATTAATTTCGATATCATTCCCACCGTGTCAAAATATATCATTATGGTTACACCTGCATCCTTCGGCTATTACTATAATCTGCGAATGAATTTCCTTATCGAAGGAAAACACCGGTTGGTATTTAAAGCGTTTGATGTTTCGCAGGACGTCTGATGTAATTCTGATTTATCGACCGACTAAATGTACCTGAATCAACCGGGCGAAACATCTGGAAAATTTGACGCAGATACGTGCATAAATTAAGATGCATAAATTAACATACATATAAACATATTTGTCTTCCAAGGAAGAATTCGGACGTTGCTTAAATCTCTTCATTTGCAGATGCACTAAATTCCTTCGATATTCCTGTTACTCGACAAGACTAATCGAGGTGTAATTCCTCGGAAGATACTCGATCATGGGAAGAAACACTTGGCAAACGTGTCCGAAATTATCAGCAACTACAAAGGAAACGAATAAATAAATTGTATTAAATAAATCAATGAACACATCGACAAATTAACAGATAAAGGAAAAAGAACGTAACATAAATAACCGACCATTAGAAATTAAACTGCACTTCGCTTCCGATAACAGGGGCACATCCGGTGGTTGATCGTACGCAATGGTGCAGGATTCGCGCAATTCGCAAGGGAAAGGGGAGCAGCATTTTTCGCAGACCGAGAAGTGGCGAGAAAACAAGTTGGAAATATTGCGTCAACTTAAAATTGAACATTTATGCGCGCGCCTACAAAGTTACGACATTTGTATAACCCGTCTTATGAAATGAAACACGGTCGCGAAATGGGAAAGGGGTGAATGGTTCTTTTTAATCCGGATCTATTCGAGCCCGAACAACGTGTGATCGACATCGAAGCTTTCAGACAAGCATAAACAGATTCAGGCGGTATAATTTTACAACGTAATAGTATCCCGATTGGTTGCGAAAAAAGCTGGTCCATCAACATCGGGGATTGCGTCGTCGATACGAATTATTTCCTCCGAATTCTGGTTCCAAAGTTTGGTCTAGTTGAACCTACACGAGTAGCAATTACAAATAAACTATTACTAGCCTGAAGAATAATCAAGTAACTCTTTAGAAGAAGAACGGAGACTATTCCTTGTCACGGTCTCATTCTATATTAAACACGAAGTTTATACGATATTTTAATCAATAGCTTAGATTATTTATTGCTGTACTGAAAAGTTTCAGCTTTGAATATGTCGAAAGATCATTTTGGCAGATGGACACCTATTTAAAAGAGTCCCTGAACTACCAAGAATGACAAAAGATATCGCCGACTGTTTCTCTAGATCGCAAACAACTCGCGTTAATGGAAAAAAGTGGAAATCTCTCGAGAAGAAATCTGTAAATCGGGGAAACCGAGCACGATGATCAGAGAATTGTATTTACGCGACGCTCGAGGAGAAAATTGAGCGAGGCGAGAGAGAAACGCGATGATCATGGATGATTCAAGAGGAGAGTCGACCTAGTCGTCGAATCCTGTCGACCCGCTGCTATTGCGATTCGCAATATAGCGAACTTGCAATGTTGCAATTCGTAACCGAGTTGCATCCACCGAGGGATGGTTGATTTATAGAGGCGAGCATCTGCGGAGGAAAGCTGATAGCCCAGGGACAATGCAATCAGAAGTCTGAGGAATGACGTGTTCGACGAACTTCTTGACCCATCGTACTTCGCTTTCAATGTTCCATGCGACTCGATCATCGATCAACTTCGTTCTCCGTGGACGTGCTTAGAACCGTAGAGTAGCTCGAGGATCTGACTCGAATTTGTCTAAAATAAAACGCTCGTAAATCGCGCAAGATCGTTACCATACGTTCAGTTGATCTTTCCTGATGCAGCATGTATCTCCGATGTACCACAGAGACCACTCCTAGCATTTCAGTGCTGAGCAACCAGTTGAAAAGAATCGTCAGGCATCGCCACAGTGACTGATCGACGCGGGTGCGTTTCGGAAGGACGTTGAAAAGTGTACACTGGCCACCGAAACCTAATTACGAAAAGAACGACTATAACTTATGCAATATCGCTTCGACTTAACACCAGAATTACCGAGCCAGTCCGAACCACTAGTTCCGCACCTTTTGTTCTTGTTCTACTTTTGAAAGTGTGCAATTACTTTTGGGAATACTGATATCGACTTTTACTGCAATAGAAACGTTATTATATAAATCTACGCATTTTCGTTGTACTACTGTAATTAGCGTTACCTACCTACGCCATATTTAAATATAAAAGTCACTGATTGGGTTGTTCAGAGTCGAATAAGGCGCATATTCTGAGCACTTTTAACGATCATTGCCAATTTTTATGACGATCCCAGAAATTATTCTCGACACGTCGCATTCCAACTTCTCTTTTTCTAGAAAATAAAAGTTATTTCATTTTTAGAAATGGCGTCGGCTGCGGCAGAGTTGGTGGCCGAGAGGGAACCGGAACCGATAATGGAAATGACGGACACGAATCGAACGTTCGTGGGTGCCCAAGGACTGGTCAGAATGGCGCTGGACCAATACACGGAAATTCTCACCACGATTTCGGACCCTCGAGTCAGCGACTGGCCTTTGATGGACTCACCGATACCGACCTTCCTGATCGTACTCCTCTACCTATACGGTGTGACGATATTCGGTCCAAGGGTGATGGTGAACAGGAAACCGTTCAAACTCAGGGGAGCTTTGGTAGCGTACAACGCGTTTCAAGTAGTCTTCTCGTTAGGGATGCTCTACGAGGTAAGCGGCTCGCGATCCGGACAATCCACGAGCATAAAAATACCACTTCTGTAGCGTACGATCAAGAAATTGAATCATCGTTCATACTCGAAAGTAGCTCGTTGGTTCCCTCTTTCTCCAGACTCAAAGGAATCCTCTGCTAGTCAGAGCACGCGATATTTACACACGGTCTCGTTCGAACTAATAGGAATTCAGACCAATTACAAGTATCTGGAGTAGCATTTAAAGAGAGAATGCTTGCCTCTAACCAGACGTCGTCGAAAAGTTTCCCTTACCACAAGGTTGCAGAAACGTTTGGAAAGCCACGTGAGCTTTCACTAAATACTGGAAATTGAGAGGCTGACGAGGATGCAGCCGAAAGATTCGCGAGAGATCGATGCACCGGCTAGATCCAAAGTTCACGGCTGTCAGATCTGCAGCTGCCTCTCTCCGAGGAACATCGCGATTGCAAGTGGGTCGCGAGACGAAAATGATAGGTACGCGGATTTCGATAGGTCTCGCGTTAGTTCCAAGTGTAACAGTGAAAGCACGCGAAATCCTTCGTTCGATCGGTTCCTATACAGCTATTTCTGCGACCTAGACGACTTCTTTCGTCGAGACACATGATCGTGACTTCGATACCGATCCTTAGCAAATAGTGCCGGCATTAAAAATAATTTCAAGCCAGCGGACTGGACCTTTCGAGCCGTGTTCATTGGACCATGATGAATCTAGTATGCATTTCAATCAAACGAAATGCAATTTCGGCAGATTCGTTGCTCGACTTTCGACTGCCTTGGTCGAGCCAGAAGTCTCTTAAATTTCTCAATTCCATAAGCTAGATTGAAACAGGCGTGACTGTTTCTTTTTGGTATCGAAAAAGTCAATCGAAAAAGCGAATTTCGTGTGCCTCGGTTACTTCGACTTCTCGTTTCGTGATAAATAAAAACAAGTCGATGATTTCCGAATGTGTCCTTCGATCTGGGACCCGTCTCTCCAAGGCTGATCAAATACGTCACAACAGGTCCTCGATAACAGCCACTACGATGTCGATTTCGACCAGACGTTCGAAAAAGGACGTAGAAACCGATGGGCTAACAAGTTCAATGTGAATGACCTGCGTCTTCTTTTCTTCCTCTTTCTAATATCCTCGAAGGACATCTAAAATCGCTAGTTCGTCGACTCGATCACCTTGAATCGCTAATTCCTGTTCTCGCGCGGACTTTGATCCGTTCTTGGCAAGATTCGACCGAAGACTCTTGCGAAACGTGACATTCCAATTTATGTAACTATTCTGTAGAGGCACCTGCTCCTATCGGCGAATGATCCTGTGTATCTTGGCCATAATAATAAACAGTCGCCAACCACTCGAACGTTCCATAGAATCCATTGCGAAGCATTCTCGCGTTTATGCTAAACGATCTTCTTAACGAGCAGTTAATCGACCGGACCGCAATGTTTCTCGCTCCAGCGCAACACTCGTGTTCGTAACACGGGATTTCTAGGACGGAATTACACGTTATTAATCCATATTTCACGCGTAGTCGCTTGTGAATAAGAAGATGTATCGCGTCAGGCATTTCTTCTCCGATCCATTTTCGTCTGATCTTGCATCTATCGATCAAGCTTCATTCCAAAGTTGAAGAGTTCGGTTCCAATCGTTTAGCGTTCCTAGAAAAGACAGTACAATGATAATTTGTCCTCTGTTCTGATCGATGGAACATGAGAATAGAAGCAACTATGACCAACCACGATCCAGTGCATCCCCTCGAAAGGCGCAAGGAAAAAAGAAGTCGCGTTGCAAAATACAACGTCCTCAAGCTGGAACTGCAGAGTTTCCATTTCAGTTGCTCGTACGAAACGATTCGAAATTTTGTGCGACTCATTCGGTGTGCAATTTTGAAAGGGGACAACCGCCGTTCACCGCCACTGCCGATCTTTGTGATTGTGAATCGCACAACTGGCGAACAAGGGGTGAGAAAGCGTCGACTCGCGAAACGCACGATTGCAAAAAGCAAAATAGATCTATGTGTGCGCAGGCCGATTCGCAAACCTTCCAACAAGTTGCTCAATCGATTTGTACATTCCAGCTCGCGGTTCGTTAAAGGCGAAGCATCCTGTTTTCGACTTTCCACGAACCACGCGTTCGCAATTCGTGCATCTAAACAGATACCTGTGATACGTTCGAGTGTCAACGTCCTCGTTGTTCAAGCTGTTAATAAATCCTAGAAACGCCTCGCAATTTGTTACCCAGAGTATACAAGGCAAAGATCGCCTTTGAAGATACGCGAAGCGTATAAGAGCATCCTTTGAAACGGTGTGACCTTTCTTCGTTTTTAACGCATTTGCAGTTACTAACGAGAATTCCCATCGTTCACCATCCTTTTTCTGGCTGTCGCGAATGTGAATTTCCATCGTTCACCATCCTTTTTCTAGCTATCTCGAACGTGAATTTCCATCGTTGACCGTCCTTTTTCTGGCTGTCACTTACACGAATTCGCATCATTCGTTGATCTTTTTCTGGCCACCACTGACGTGGATTCGCATCGTTTATAATTCTCCTTTTGGTTCCCATGCAAAGTCTCGTCACTCCGAATTCTGCTTTTGGTTTTCTTCGACGTGATCTTAGAAAACAGTTTCTTACTGTGATATTTTTGAATAAATTTTGTCATATATATCTTCCTGGTAAACTAGCCTTTGGACTCCTTTATTCGAAGCTTCTGAGTTCCTCTATTTCTACCTTTCGGTACTGGAAAAGTGAACAAATTAGCGGCTGCGAATGTGTTATGAGCTAATAGAATATCAGGGCTAATGACTTTCGAAACGCATCATATAGAGGATTATCAGTGTTATCTTACGTCAGGACTTTCGACATCATGTGTCTAGCAATTTCTAATATCTCGTCGCAAAACAAGTTCAGCTCAATTCGCAAGAAACTGTACCGATTCCTTAGCCACCCCAAGCTAACATGACACGTCGCCATTAACTGCGGTAAGAAAGTTAGAAAATTAGAGAACATTGTAGATCCAAGGGAATCACCGTAGAAAGTTCTCTACACGAAAGATTTTCATGATGAGAGGTAGCAAATTACAAATTATCGGACATCAAGAAAGTTGCGCATCGCGATCCTTTGGATCCGCGACTACTGGACGTTCTATGACCAACTTTTTCGCCTGGAATTATTGTAGTCTGTTCGAGCTAAGCGTAGCAACTGGCCGAATTTCATTTGAATTGCTCGTTTCCGTTGTAAACTAGAAACGCATCGCGAAGAGAAGAGAATTCCGCCGTTTTGAAAAGGGAACAAGAACCTCGTGGCCTCGCGTATCGGTGAAGGTTCCAGTTTAAACATAAGTGGCTCTTTCGAAATATTCAGTTGACACAAAAAATCACGTTCTCGATCCCGCTTGTGACTACGCGTTACGGTCATTACGGTAAAAACCGCAGGGAAACTGAAAATCGTCCCATTACTCTTCGTTCCATGCGGCAATTTTTAACCGATTAAATCGTAACTGGAAAATCGACGAGGGTAGCGTTAATCTTCGTCAAGTCGAAGAAATGACTAGTCGAGGTGTTCGACTATTATTTGCCAACACTTGGAGGAACGATTTTGCCCACACGACGAACTTGCGAGCTGACGGTGACTTTCAATTATGTTTTACTTATCGTTCGCAAAAACATACCGTACGAACGATAATAATCGGTGACGAAATACCTTTCACGTCTCATTTTTCCGATCATCGATTTCGCCTCGAACTGCCTGGCAATTAAAACTTGCGTTAAAAACTTTGACGTCACTAAAATTCCAAGATCATAAGCAGGACGGATATCCCGGCAAGCAGTTGGCGCTGAAAAACCATGAATATTATTCACCTGTTTTCTGAGTCACTAGACAGCCGAGAAAAATTCCTATGCATACCCACTTTCCAGTATTCGTTCTTTCTGTACATATCGTAGGTGATATTAATGAATCCGTTAATCGCGGCTACGATAATCGAATAGATACCTCGCTAAGCGAAACATACGATCGGAAATGTACCTTGACCGTGAGCTCCTGTTTCGCAGCACCTGATGTCCGGCTGGCTGTTGGACTACAGTTACAAGTGTCAACCGGTGGACTACTCCCACAACCCGTCTGCCCTTCGAATGGCGAACCTATGTTGGTGGTACTTCATCAGCAAATTCACGGAGTTCGCTGACACGGTACGTACGAGATCTCGATCAACGAGGAGAGGAGAGCGAGGAAGAGATCGGCGAGTTACGAAATATCCATGGGATCGACCGGGTTCACGATGCTGGACTCCGGACCAGCGTGATTTTACGAATTTCTTTAGCCGTAGAAATCGACCACTGAAGCAGAAACAGAAGCTGCTTCGAGATAGTTTTACACGGACAAGTCGATCCCTCGTTGCGACACGCGTTTTTAGTTGACCGATCGGTTTGGCTAAAGTGACCGACTGTTGAGCGACCACGATCGTCGTGGAAGAAAGCCGTGTTGCGAGAGAAACCGCGATGTCAGCGATAGCATCATCGCGACCCAGGTCGTTATGTCTTTTCTTGCGGAATAAAGTCCTTAAGCAAAGACCTGCTAACCTGCACGAGACTATCCGCACGCGAAATACGCTCTATAGGCAGATAATGCTAAATCGATCGAGTATTCCAGTGAAGTAGCTTACGTTTCAAGTTTGTCGGTTATTGTATACAATAGCACTCGCTTCTTGCTCCACGAAAAATTTGAGATCGTCTAAAAACACGTGGCGTTAGATCACGGGGACCCACGGACCGTAACGAATCCTTATCAGAGTTCTTGTCGGTCTAGTCGAAGCGTAAGATTCGAATTGCATCGAATAGAAATATTCTGCTACAAAGGGGTTACACGAGGTACGGCAGACTGACAGGCGAAAAATATTTGACTCGTGGTTACGAGCGAAGAAACATCTAGAAGAGCATCGTAAATGTCGAATGTTGAAAATTCTACAAACGCCAATTTCATCGAAGAATCGATACCTCGTGGATTACAATGTGGCAAGACATCATGGTAACACGTGGTGTCGGTTTAACGATGTAATATTTTACATTGAAATTGTCTGGTGACATAACAGATAATAATGTAAATAATATACGCAATAATTATAATATGGATGATAGATATTAGATATAAATCCACGACGCAACGCAAGCTTCTCACAGGAAATTATCGTCACAAGTTACGCTAAAAGCGAATGAATCAGTCGTTTATGGCTGCAATCGACGAGGAGTCAAATACTATTCGCTGTTTTCTCTACCTCTCGTGTGTTATAAGAAATAACGCTCTTAGGAATTACCTCATCGATAGCTTTTCATTGACAGTAATATCATGCTCTAACTCGTACTACGAACTTTCAGATATTCTTCATTCTGCGCAAGAAGGATAGCCAAGTGACGTTCTTGCATCTGTACCATCACTCTTTGACACCTCTGGAAACATGGATTTGCGTGAAATTCATCGCTGGAGGACACGGTACTTTGGGAAACCTTATAAACAACGCGGTGCACGTGATAATGTATTTGTATTATATGGTGTCCGCAATGGGACCGGAGTACCAAAAATATTTATGGTGGAAGAAGCACCTCACTTCCGTCCAGTTGGTAGGTTTACGAAGCTTCATTAACGAAAATAATCCTCGTGAATATTTATATTAGTTATTTGGCGATATCACGAAACTGCCGATTCCATTCACTCCTGTATATATGACTTTCTAGTTACTTTTTCAACCCAGGCAAGACACTAGAAGTTACCTATTACCACTTCTGAAACAGAAAGTAACAAAAAAGTTATCCTTACTTCTTATCATCTCTTCGTGTCCATCTTTTTGTCAACAGTATTAACAAATAGCGCGACGAAACAATGGTCATCCATTACAAATGCAATCGATGCGCATAATCGCATTCTTTTTACATGAAGCACGATCTCGCTCACCAACAGACGAATTCTTGCTTGGAAACAATGTGATTTATTTCAAAGAAAATAGATGCTCGATCACCGTATGAATATTTCTATTCGATAGAAATCAGAGCATTCGTTTACCTCTAAATATGAACAAGAGTATCTGTGGCACGGTTCTCGAGCGAGCACGAAGAGACGCGAGGACACGCGACGTTTTGCATAGGCAGCCAAGAAGCAGCAGAAAAATCTCAACGATTCCGATCGCGTGCAAGCTTCCACCAGAAGCACGTTAAAAGGCGTGTTACAACGGATAATCGTGAACGGACAACTGCTTTCGATACAGACAACGCTGTGTTGTAACACTATGTGTACAAGTAACTGGGCCTTACTACGCCAAAACGAATGGCTTTTAGTTTCGCATTCACCGAGTCGCGACAGTCGAGTTTGTAACGATGTCCTCCGTATCCGCAGAGACGCCCCTGATGCTTGACAACCCGCCATGCTTCATTCCACTACGAGCACGTTCGTACAGGCAAAAGATACGCGCGAGGATAAAATAAGAAATATAAAATCGGAGAAAGAGAAATTCGAGGACGATTCGAAAAAAATTCAAGATTTCTAAAGAACGATTAATATGGGAAGAAAAAGAAGAAGGAAGAAAGATAATACATCTAAGAAGATTAATGAAAGGAAACGAATATGGCGCGTTGCTTCAGCTGCACGGACACGTGACCATGTTTGAATCGCGCAATAAACGGACACCGATATCAAATACTTTTTAGAGCAAGATTCGCGATACCTTCTTCTTGCACAACGCGCGTGTTACAGCCCGGTTGGATAATAATCTGCATCGATAAAAGTGAGCGGAGCCGCGACACGTCGAATGCAACGTACATGTGCGCGCGCCGCTCCCAGGGTGCATCGGAGTGCAAATGCACTGAAAACAAACATATCGCGAATTTACCAGCTTTTAATTGGATAAACAGCGCGCTGGTGTGGCGCTGCTGGAACTCGCGCAATGTAGGAATGAGAGAAAGAAAACCAATGATCAATGCACACTGTACAAATTGAATTATTGCGAACCATTTGTATGGCGTAGTTGCACTTACAACACCCAACACCCATGCCTCGATAATTTCGGACATAACCTCAAATATTATTAAACCTTTTAAACATTTTACGTTTATCAAGGTGAAACAATAAGAATACTACATTTATTTAGCCTTTTAACTTGAAGAACAGCCTTTGTCCTAGCCACACGAATGAGATCTTGCAACAGGGATCATTAAATACTCGTTACTGGTCGCGCCGATAATCCTCATACGACTACACCGAAAGATTCGAAATGAAAATCTTCGAGTATTTCTTCGACGAGTATTTCTACCGTGTCTCATCAAGATTGCGGTGACGTTAATTGACGGCAATCAGAACCTGATCCTCCTGACAATCAGTTTCGGTGAAAAGAAGCGCGAGAAAGAACCATATCTGGCTTGGGGTCGATGTCAACGACGTCAGCGTCTCCAATGAATTCTGGGCCATCGTTGGCCACCCGTGCAAGCCTCTGAACAAAATTTCACGCAAACACATGGTAGGGGTGAGGGAAAGTGAAAAGTACAACGTTGGGCAACGTTGCAGGCTGACTTGCTTTGGCCGGACTCGGCCGACTACGTTGCGGTGGCGCAACAATTTGGCATTCCGATATGCCGTATACCAGCGTGCCACCACCACCACGACACTACCGCCATCACCATCGCCGTCGGCCGCTGTACTACTACCAATCTGTTGCATGCCTGCAAAGTCTCACCTATATCGCTTGCCTACCTCGCTTTATCTCGCAAGACCATTGATTTCCCGAACGATCACGTAAATTGTTCAAAGGACAACTCCTGCCTCTGTCCCTCGTTTACATTTGCGGTAATGGATCTTCTCGTGGATATTCCGCAACAGCTTGTTATTTAGAACTATGTGACGCTGGGGTCAGCTTCTAGTAGCTTCTCGATACGAAACATTGCAGATGACAAATGCTAGTTTCCACTTGCAGGTGAAACGAATATTCCAAATGTAAACGATGCAACGATGAGTCGTGTATTTTCATCAGATTTCATTGTAGTTGTTTCTCCTTTTCTTTTCACGATACCCTCGCAGATGACTCAGATCCTTTTACTCGACCAAAACGAAGGCAACTGTAACTAGCATTTTAGCAATTACTTTGTTTCGCGAGCGCGATACGATTACATATCTCGCGCTACCAGGTAGAATTTTACTTTCCACGGATTAATCGATAGCGAAGGGTATCGTTGCGCCACATTATTGGCCAGAATTTTGTTCAATCAAACAGTCACGCAGGTTGTACAAAATATTGCCGATTATTCTTGCGTCATTACCATAGCCATAAATAACGCATAGTCCATTAATTCGATGGTAGCTCGTGTATCGTCGTGGCATAATTCAAGTTGCGACACTTTACGCTTTTCCTGCAAGGAGAAAGGCAGTAGCGTTTCCAACCTACTGCCGCTTGTGATATCGCCAAATTTCGAGTCATTGATATCCTAAATTTAAAACGATTTGAACTAGTCGAAATCGGATTTGTAAAATGTGTACTCACCGCTAACACGATTCAACGTAAGACAATTCAGTACATCTTCATCTTTGCAGGTACAATTCTTCCTAGTGTTCGTGCACAGCACTCAGGCTCTGGTCTTCGACTGCGGCTACCCAAAGCTAGTGGCAGCGCTGCTCCTACTTCATTCAACGATCTTCTTTATCCTCTTCTCAGACTTCTACCGACGAGCGTATAACAAGGGCAGGACGAAGAAGGAGCTGAAAAACGAATAAACGTTATCGCGCATTATTCCAAATTTGCCTGCGATACGCTCCAACGCGTTGACCTCTCGGCCACGCATGCACGATCGATAATCACGAATCGATCACACAGGAAATCGTCTTCGAATCTTTCTGACGCCATCATTTCAAATTTGAACTTCTTAAACTTTACGTTTTATCTTAGTTTAAAAATGATGAAAGAGTATGCTAGTAATGTTAGTAAATTAACAATCACGTGCTATCGATCACGATAGAGGCAATTTGATTAGACGACGATTCGTGATCGATCGTCTGGAGGATCGAGAACGATTGTTCGATTGGGGTGGAGCTTACAGATTCCTTCCGTATGGAAGAGGATTTCACTCGTTATCCCTCGTATCCTCCGCAGGACATCTCAGGTCTCGCGAACAGCTTGGACCAGGGCTTCCGAAGCACTCGTTCTGAAACAAATTTTCACCAATTATTAGAGGTGAACATCCCTGACGTATATTAACGTACTTTGTACTACGTACCATGAATCTTCGGTAAAACCAGTCGAGTTCGTTGCGTTCACCTTAGGTTATATTGACGTGAAAAAGTGCATCGAAAACCCAGAATCGACGTAACTTGATACATCGATCGGTCCTTGGTTCGTTAATTTAGCGCTCCTTTTTTACTCTAGATGTTACGCATCGCCGAACCTGTAATTAAGATTACTGTAAATATAGTAGTCCTAGTACGCGCCACGGGATCATTCCCGCGATTGTATTTAACACACTGCATGTATTGAGCCAATTATGCGATACGTAAAACATATTCCACGTTAAAGTAAATTTCTTACGATTATCGAACAGAAAAGAGGTTTATCCGGTTAGGTGGAAAATGAACGTCTAATTTATCAAACAAATTATTCCGCGTATTTAAATGGCTCTACTTCGTGAACATCCAAGCTCAATCTTCTATTTACATTTATTTATATATTTCTTTTTTATTATCGTGTACTTTCGAGTGTTTAAAGTAACCCCATAAGCAATAAGTAAATACGCTCACGCCGTTGGACCACGCGAGGACAGAGATTTATACGACTACGAATCAAAAACGATATCAATTTTCATACTTGTCACTGGTCTACAAACACAATACAAACACGATAATTTGAAGAATTTCCACAAGCTAGCAAGATGTTGGATCAATAGAGGAATGAATCGAATTTCATAGTTATTCCTTTAGTACTGTATATAAAATCATAAAATAGCGTTCTACACTGAGTGTTGTCAAAACCTTTGTTCCATATAACATTATCACATACAGGTTAAACGTTAGGAGATTTATGATACCGAAGAGAAACGATTATCGAATAATGACAATAATATAAAATTTATAATTGATCCTAACCTGATGGAAACATGTAATAGCATTTGACAACGAAAGGCGGACATCGAATCTATACATTTCTTGAGGATTAAATATTACTCACTCGAATCACCTTTTTTTATAAACGAAGTCCCCCTTGTAAGCATGTGCGAAGCTTTGACTAGAAGCCAACTGAATACAGACACTTTTTGTTTTATCGATTCTCTGATTACGCCCTTTCCAGAGGGATGGACAGAGATGCTCATTCTATGGTTATAGCCAGAAAAAATGAATCTGTCCATTAGCAATATGATAATTTTTTTAGGAATTTATCATTAAATCTCATCCTACGGTTGTAATTTATTTAGTGTGCACCGCGCATGATAAAACCCTTTTGTAAATATGTAATTCTTTTATTTTTTTGTAATATGACAAATAAATGTTATTAAGTTACTTGTAAAGTACAACCTATTTAAAACAGTAAAATAATGTCATTCTATGTCCTTTATGTACATTCATATATAAACAAATAAAATAGATGACAATATGGAAACTAATGGGAAAAATAAAATTTGAACTATATACCAAGAAACATAAAACTATTTTAATAACAATTTCTTTGTACAGAAAGGTAAAAATGTAATATTATTTGTCCACTTCAAGGCCAAATATTAAAGCTGTATTATACACATGGGAAACCATATTTAACATATTTTATGAAAAACATGAGAATAATAACAGTAACAATAATAATATTTACACTTTTCTACTAATATACACCTTTCACTCTTTATTGTAATAACTTTTACAATGTAAACTTCATATATACATGTTCTAGATCCGAACAACTTTGGGTAATATAAAATCTAAACTGCAACTGCTTGCAAAGCATTCTCCTTTGCTTGTTTTCTGAGTAGAAGCCTACGTTCTCTTTCATATTCTTTCATTCTTAAAACATAGCTGTAACATATATAAATTATAACTAAACAATGTTCATAATAAACATTAAATAACAATAATTACTAATATCGTTCCATGAAAACTTACTCATCGTATTCACATTGTTTATATCTATGTAAGACACCCTTACATAGCGCAAAATAAGGAAATTCTTTCTTACAACACTTCTCAACCTCTAAGTAAAGATGTACACAATAATCTCTATATTTCAGCGGAACTCTGGCACCTACCAAAACGTCCTCGGATACAGGCGCAACTATAACAAACATAAATGTAAAGTAACATTCACAGTTAAGTATAATACATATTAATCAACCTATAAATTATTTTTAATAATAATTTATGTCGTTTACATTCAGATATAAGAATTGTATGAAAATGAAGTTCTGCTCAAGATATTTCACACATTTCTTATTTATCATGAGGCATTTCATATTTCTCATTTATATTTTAGCTTTATTTGCATAAAACTTTAAAAGTCATAGAAAGATAAATAGGACGTACCATTAAAATTATTTAACAATCAAAAGTTTTACATGTATGATTATGCCATTGATGAAGTATTTATAATACAAGTAGAAAAAAAATACAAAAGTTTTAAACAAAATGACATAATAAAATACTAATGGAAAATCTGTAATTATGTGAAACTACGTTGGAATTACATATGTATAATTTATATTAGTATAAAAATATAAAAATAGAATGTATAGAATATAAGTTGTGCATATTAAAGGTTAGGTTAAAATACTTACCCCTTTTTTTACGTTCACCCGAAAAGCCAAAATGCGAATCAAAAGATGGAGTTTTGCTTGCTGGAAAAGGATCGCTACTAAACAGTTTCTGGAACGTGTTACCCATTTTATTACTGCTATAGAGCTATTGCCAAAAAATAATATATGCCCCCCAAAAAACGGGTTCTACAAAGCACAATACTGACATCTGGTGATAATAGTGTACTCTTAATGCTACGTAATTTTATGTAAGATGTATATAAAAACACATTAAATTGAATGAACTTTTAACGCAATATACACGATATGTTTTCTGTTGAAAATAAAATTGTTTTACATGAAGAAGAAATTTACACATATTGCCATATTTGTCTAAACAAGTAGTTTATTGAAATTTCACTGAAATAAATATACATGTGCATTAGAAATAGTTTCAAAAGTGATTGACATCATACAATATGTTTATAAAATCGCTTCAAGGTAATTTAATAATTTTATTTTGACAGATTAAGATCATGTTCAAATAATAATGCATTTGTGTAGTACATATTTTCTTATTAGCTTAACAAACTGTTTCTATAATCATATACTTACAGCAATATAAAAAATTTGTCTCAATCGATTTACTTCTAGAAATAATATGGATAATACTTTAATCATCTTCTTCTTCCATTGCTTCAGGCATTATACTTCCTATAATGATAAATACAAAGTACCTTCACAGTTAAGAACATAAAAATATAAAAAGCACTGCCCCTGCATATTTTAATTAGTTACCATTTTGTAATCTGTCTTCACTAGGCATGTGTCCAGCTTGAAGCAATTTACTAAGACGTTGTACTTCCTCAAGGGAAGAAGCATTTGTAATAGCTTCTCTAATTTTGTTACGTTCTTCTGGAGTTGTTAGTGGTTTATCTGAAGACATACCAGATGTTTGTGTTTTTACTTTCTTGGCTATTTCACGAACCATTTCTTTTCCTTTTTTACTCCTGAAGTATGCAACGGCAGCCTCACGTTCTTTCATTTTAATTTTTCTAAAATCTAAAAGCCTCAACTGTGGAAATCTAAATACGACATATTGTCTGTACTGAGGCTTTGCAGAAACTGGATTTTGCAACAAACAAAGATTTGTTAAACTTTTTAACTGTGCCAGTGGTTCCAAATCACCAAGTTCTTGAATCATGTTTCCAGTCAACATAAGGGTTTCCAAATTTGGAATACAATGTTCCAATCCTTCACCAATTCTGACAATGCGATTATTATTGAAAAAAAGAGTTTTAATTCTTTTTAACAGAGGAAATCCATCTAACTTTCTAATATCATTGTCAGAAAAATCAATGGTATCAAATTGATCCTGAAAAAATATCACTTCTGCACTTTGATATTTTGACAAAATTACAGAACCTATTGATATATTAAAATTTATTCAGAAATTCAGGTACTTAATGAAATAACTGATAGCTAATACCAACAAAAATAACCATTACGTAGATAATACTCATGATATACAAAAAGACAAACATATTTTAAAAACGATAAAATACAAAGACCTATCAACTACAATACTAACTAGAGTTGCGCCCAAGTTTTCGATTGTGGGTATTTTATATCCTGTAATAAAAGAAATACAAAAATGTTAAACATTAAAGAATTGGTGTCAAATTTTAGGTTATATCATACAGATATACTTTATTTACAAACCTCTAAGATCTAGTTCTCGATCTTTTACAGGATTAATGTACTGCATAGATTGTTGAATTAAGTCTGGCGTTAATTTAACCATTATTTTACAATACTGTTAATTACAATTGCAACAAAAATTAGCGTACTACAAATCTTTGATAATCACAATACTCTTTCCATTAAGGTTAGAATTGGAGTATAGTTTCATTATTGGTAAGCTTGATTGCCAAACAATGCATAGTTCAGGGTAACCAACAGACTTAAGTTATTAATTCTTATGGAATTATTTAATAAATAATAAGTCAAGATTTAAAGGAAAAATCATAATCGCATGGCTCATTTTTTAAAATAAAACAGTTTTAAAATTCTTATTATTAACCGATCGCATATCATCAAAAGTGTATTTTTATTTAATATCTTGAACAATTAAAAAATATGACTCTTTTTACATTATTTTACTTGTATTACATTAAAATACTTTTTTACAATACAATTCTTTACAACCTTTAGATATGATTTATAAATAATATGAATAATTTGTAAATAAAGCAGATAACACAAATTTGTCTTAAAATAAATGTTTAATATTAATTTTTCTATTTCTTAGTAAGAGGTAAAAATAAAATGACTAGAAAGAACAATGATGAAGTAACAACGAAGTACTCGAGTATAAAATCTTTTAAATGGACGAAGCAGAATACTGACAAAACCGAAATTTATTGGAAAAAACGACTTTCGTAAATATACATAATGAAACCAAGTCTGTCACAATCACCAATTTATCTCTCTCGGAATAAGAAGTTATCTCTCTGCAAAGGACAGACATTTAAAATTTAATGAATACTAAATGTAATAACTATAAAGTTGGGAAAATTTATTCGTATTACTAAACGCGATTGTTATTTACTCAAAACTAATTCAAGGTTGTGATACAAACAAAAGATGCTTATATATTTAACATTTCTTTGAATCACTTACTGTAGTTATGCTTACTACAGTGGAACGTCATTATCCGTGAAATTTTACGCAAATTATCGATTATCCGAATGTAGAAAGTGTATATTACGATAGAATGAGTAGAGCATGATCAAATAATCAATGTTCCATTGTACATGTGTCTAGTATGAATGTGATCTGGATATTAAAAGTTTATGTTATTCGATTATTCGATATCAGTGGGAATCAAAGTTCACGATTATGACGTTCATCTTAAATTATAAATTATGATTGATTCAAATTACGATATGGGACAATGTCTCTGCGTTATAAAGAGTTGTGGACAAATTCAATTATCTAATTTTAATTTATTTCTAACTTCTATACTGAAATGGAAGCAAAGTGGGTGAAACAATTATACCAATCTGAAGAGTCCTCTATTATTTGCAACGTTGTTGCAAAATCGAAACAATTACGTTTTCTAATTTCATATTTTTTCTACAAGCAAGTGACCAAATATTATATCGAAAATATGTACAAGCTGTACATGTGCCATTGGTCGAATAACTACACGAAATCGTCGTTGTACGTTTTCATAAAATACATTATGGCTGCATTCGTAGATATTTTATCAAAAGATCAATATAATTAATATAATTTTTTATTAATAAAAAGAAAATAAATTTTCTGGAAATGAAATATGTCCATAAATCGTATTTTTTTATGACGAAGATATATCGAAAGATTACAGAAAATCATAAATACTAGATAATGTGTCATGATCGTGTAGAATTTTGCGATTGCTATTCTTCGAATCAAAGGAAGCAGCATAAACTGCAAGTGGTAAACACTAACTCGCACTTACTATCATATAAAATCAGGATTTCTTCAATTAATATGCCTACAGATGTTTGAATAAGTGATGAAGCTATTAAATCAACACTACAACTTTTTGCGATCGTAAATTGAAACAATAATTGTCCTACAGCCTCTGAGATTAAAGAAATAAATGAATATTTAAAATTCTTCGAACCAATATAAAATGATGAGTTAACTACAAGAGATATGTTTGATTCGTTAAGTAAATATCTTTGTAACAATCGACAATATAAAATACAAGCAAGTGTGTGATGATACTTATGTCATTGATATACTCTTAATTTCATCACTGGTCATTTACATAATTGGTAGATTTTGAAGTTCAGCAATTAAAATATGGGAAAAAACGATTTAAGTAGAATTGTAAAACGATAAATAAATGCTAAACAATAGCAAGGACGCAATGCATACTGAACGAAACAGTTTAACTTTATGACCTCCATTAATGTGGCCTATGGTTCATTAACATGAGCGTGTACATCGGGTAATTGATTCTACATTATATATAATACTATGCATAAATGTATGTAGACTATACGTATGCGTCATTTGCATTCAATAATGTTGGCTCAAGCAAATTCAGAGAATGGAGAAAGGGAATTGTATAATCCCTATATCTATAATCCCTAAATCTATTGCTCCTTCGTTAATACCAAACTCTTAAATTCACTCAAATAATTAAATTTCGTTAAATTAACATAATTAAACAAAAATCTTAAAGTAAATAACTCACTACCGCTGGTATTTCGCTTTGAAATTACCATCTATCAATTTCCAGCAGAAACATTTCGACTTAATCGCATAAAATAGTAAAATGGCGAATATCCGTTCGCCATTTGTGTACCAAATCGAGCATAATGAATTAAACGTTAATAAATATATTTGATGTAACAAACGTCTTTCCAGTTATTAATCCTTCGACCGTTACGGTTCATTATTCAAAGTCTATTCAAAGATGATATTAAATTTATCTTGGAACAGATCCTGATACATAGATACATAAATCGGAAACAGATGAATACGATGAATGAATTTTTAACATAGTACGCGAATCAAGGTATACGACATAAAGACTCGTGTGTATAAAAAAATTGGGTAATGCGTCATAGTCACTGTGAATTAACTTCGGTTATGTCGTAAATGCTAATCAGGATAAATTAAATTGAATTTATTATATTTCCCGATTTTTCTCCCGCATTATGCGCAATGCTTAAACTAATTACTTGATCCATAATATGTACATCGTTATAATGTGATATTATTATGACATAATAGCTCAAGGGGTTAAGTGGAACAAGGAAAGATGCATTATGTAGATGACATAAAGAAACGCAGTTTTCACTTGTTTATTTACCATGGAATTCCATGAGGTATCCCGAAGAAAAACACGGCGAAATTAATAATACGTTGTAAAGTTGAATCGTAAAGAATTAGTGAACTGGAATTTTTCAACTGTTATATAATATCCTTCCCAAATTGACTTTTGCTGGATTTTGCGAGTAACGAATTTATAAAAACGAGAGTATTCTATGATTCATCGTGTTTCATCGTATTTATAGACAAATGACATAATGAAACGGAAAAAAAAGGTTGGTTACTATCATTCGACGCCATTGCTTTGCGAATTATACAACAGGACTGTTTTCCATGTCGTGTTAAATTCGATAAAAATTAAATCCGTACCATCATTTACATTCCTCTTAATTGATAAACGAAACTACCTAAGAATGGTATTTTTCCAACGTTTGACGTCATGGAATGTAAAATTAAGTAGGTTAGCAGATCAGCCAACGATAACGAATACGTTAAAAATCTCTCCTTCGCCAGTTTTCGTGCAAACTTGTTCGAATTTATTTTGTTGTTATTGTAAATTCCTACCTGCCATTAATAACTTTTTTAGACTCGCCAAACGAGCGTGACGGAAACGTGTAAATTACCAGATTTCGCATTCAAACAAACCTACGTAGGTTTCGAATTTTTTGCAAGGTTTCATCGAATTCTTTGGTATTTCTTTAATTTTCCAAATCTCGTTTATTTCCCTTATTTGCAAGGTTTCATCGATTATAAACACCAGACACAACAAATCGGTGCAGACTGTCACGAATGTAAGTAAGCATTGTTTTTCTCAATGAATATGGTGATTTGTTTAAGAATGTTGCATCCTATTACGTCAACATAGCACCTATTGTATTGTAATGTGGGGTCCTCCCCTACCGTTGGTGGCGGGTGCTCGGCTGCTGACGGGTAGTGCTGGAAGGGATGAAAGAAGAAGGAAGGGATGCGTTTCGTCTTGGGTCTGCTAATGGACTCATCAGGAAGGCTATCTAGCAGACCCTGCCTCAAACACGGATACTATTGGAAAGTCTGGAAATTCTATACAGGGTGCCTCAGCAACAGTAGTACAACCGGGAAGGGGGTGATTCTAAATAGGCCCTACGAATATTTGTAACTATAATTCGAGTAAGCTATGCAAAATTTCCTCTCGAGTTTGGGACGAACGCGATATTTTATGCAGAAAATTTCAGTTTCGATGACTTGACCTTTCAATTTTCGATTTACCTAAGTATATACGCCGATTATATCATTCCATACGTAACAAAAGTGCTACGTAATATCAGATTTAAACTGAACGGAATAAAGTATGGAAATTTATTACATATACGAGTGACGAAACGCAGGATAACGGGAAATCCCAATGAAACATGGATCATGGAGACGTGGATTAGCGCGATTAATGATGCGTAGAAAATTATTAAATTAATCTTCGTAGTCGCACGAATGCATCATCTGTCAGGCCGATTAACATTACCAAAGAAAAAAGATAAAAAACAAGAAAAGAAGGAAAACTCGTGTCAGATATAAAGAATTAAGTATCAGTCGAGTGTTTTGACACGAAAATGAAATGAAAGAAACAACTTAAAAGATTACTTCGATCTGTCAAATTAAAAACCTTGGTCTGTGAATGGTTCATACGATATAACTCAGTATATACATAGCGTATAAAATAAAATGATTATGAATGGAATGGCCTTTGTCCATTTCAAGTGCACACTATGCAAACAGCATATATACACTTGCGTTTAATGATGGGTAAATAACAAACACGTGTTCGACGATACAAGGGCAACCGGGGTTCCCGAACCCGTGGAGTATCGACCAGATATTAAAATGAAATGTCAAATCGCAGACGTGTCATTAATATAAATGAATGGTTAGGAATTCAAGATGTGCGCGAAATAATGTGAAAAGCATAGATACCTAAGCATATCCTCGATATCTAAGATAGCAATTAACATCATATGAAAGTAACAGCATTCGATTCCCCCATAGAAGAGGGGACATTAATCCCCTCCCCCATCCCATC